AGAAAGACTAATATTGTTTCCAAACAAAATGAAATAAACTAAGTAAACAAAATAACAAATCTCAATCTATGAACTCCGATATCACATCTTATCAAAGCTTCATCCGTAAACATGCTAAAGTCTAAGCCTCAACATTAGCATTATTTATCATCACCCTAATGGCCTCTTGCAAAACATACATAAAAACAATATATCAGAGTCATTAGTTACAACAAAGACATATCAAACACATAATCATAAGTAATTACAATTTACACACTTGAAGGATAATACTCATATAAGATTGTTTGAAGGTGAATACTCATGTGTGGCTAATTGAAGGTTATTACTCTAGTACGGTTAATACTCATGTGCAATTAATACTCATGTACGGTTGTTCAAAGGCTAATACTCATGTACGGTTATTTCTCATGGGCGATTATAAAATATTTTATACACATGATACATGTCATACATACAAAACTATATATGTAATTTCATCTCATAAACTTATCACGTACTCATGTCATTCACATAACACATCCTTTTCATGTCAATCTCATGCATACACATCATCATCATGTCAATTTCATGTGTACACATCATCATCATCATGTCAATATCATAAATACATATTCAACCTATCATATTCAATTATTAACATTAACTAGTATGAGAGTCACATGTTCATAGTTCAAACACAACAATTACACAACATCATATGATACACCTCAAAATAAAATCATTATGAAATCATATAATAATGTATTAATACCTCAATCATAATCACTAAGAGATTAACATCAAACTAAGAATTTAAATTAATAACTTAACTAGTTTTGCAATGTATTGATATCACACATTAATTCCTTTGGTATTGTTATCACCGAGGCATCTCAAGTCGTTAACAATGAACTCACATTATAATTTATTCACAATTGTTATTCTCTATCATGATTTATATTTCTTAAACATTGATACAGGTACCCCAAACCATTCAGAAGATCAAACACCGAACCTTAGCGCAATTCACTCTACATCAATTTGAGGTCGAATTTGAACACTCGGCGCTAATAAATTAAGGCTGAACTCGAACCTTCACGGAAACACTCACTTAACAAAAAACCAAGGGCGAGTTTGAACCTTGACTTGGTCAACACAAGGTGAAGGCATCACCGCATACAAAAACATACAACAGACATCAAACGTGTGCCTCAAAATGCACAAACAGCAAAAATCAAGAGCAAACGTAAGCAAACAGAGAAAATACGTATATACAAAGCCATGCTTACAGAGTTCACTACATGAATTCAACAAAACAAAAGAGAAATAAAACACAAAAACATTAACCGCCCTACGCAGAGGCATTTTCACTTGAGCTACCCTCGAGGTTGTCCTCCTTCACCAACTTCCCAAAGCGGACCACCTTCTCCACGTGCATGGTAGAGAAGTCGAACCCCGGGGCGAGAAGCCTTGCCTAGCGAGCTGCCTTGAGGAAACCGCGCTTATGCTCAACAACGACAGCTTTTTCGGTTTCCTCCAGCTTCTTCTCCAGCACCTTCCTCTCCGCCTCCTGCCTCGCCAGCTCCGCCTTCAAGGTGGCGACCTCCTCCTCTTTGCCCCAATCACGACCTCGTCACAGAGGCGCTTCTCGGCCGCCGTTGCCATTTCGCTCTTCAGAGAGGTTACCTCATCTTCTAAAGAGCGAACCCGACCACGGGAAGACGTCACCTCGTCCTCGAGGAAGCGCACCTGACTTCGGGATGAGGAAGCCAGCCCCTGCAGCTCGCCCACTTGAGAAGCATAGCTTTCATTTGAGCGCAGAGCAATCTCCAGGGACTTCTGCACCCTTGCAAGATCCCCCCTTGCGGCTCGCAGCTCAGAGCTTAAGACCTTGCTCTCTTCCTTAAGGACCTTATTCTCCCCCTTTAGGACCCTGTTCTCATCCCTCAGAGGTTGAACTCGGCCCCTCAGTCTGGCTAGGTCCTCCTGCTGCTTGACCATTGAGGCTTCCAGTGGCCCATAATGGCCATAGCCCTCTGCAAAAGCACCTGGGCAGCGTCAAAGCCATCCACAGGCTCGGCCTCATCTATCAGCCCATGGTCTTCAGAGCTTAGCCAGCCTGGAGGGAAGAACTTCTCAACGGTCGCCCCTGCGCCCCATAACGACCCCATGTCAGCCGAAGCGCTCACATGATCCAATCGCACCTTGGAGAGGCCTTTCCCGAAGCGGTGAGCCATATACCGGCTCCGGGAAGCCCCCTGCGACGAACCAGACGGTGGCGCCGAAGCTGCAGGTGTGGGCGCGGGGACGTCAAAACTTGGCTCCTTGCCACGAGCCCCGGCAGAGGCAGAAGCCGGCGTTCCCTGCTCGGCAAATGGAGGGTCGGCGATAGGAATATCCGACCTCGCCTGTAAAAACCAGCACCATGTCAAAAAAGGAAAAGGGCAACATAAGGGGAATCACAAAAAGCAGGGTACACTACCTACCTCAGCAGCGTGGGCAGCCTGCTCGGCGGTTGGGGTCGCCACCTTGGCAACCCGGGCGGCCTGCTCAGTAGCCTAAGTCGCCGCCTCGGCAGCCTCTCCTACCTACGGAAGACAACCCTAGGTCAGAAAACAGAAAAAGCACAATAGAAGACAACAAAAAGCCGAAGAGACAAGGCCCTCACCACCTCGGCAGGTTGAACAAACTGCTCAGCAGCCTGAGCTATCCCCTCAACGACCACCTGAGGAGCCCCCATGGGCGGCGGACTCTTAGTAAGGTCCACCGCGCCAGCGTCGGCAGCTTTGGAGGTCACCTCCTCGGCATCCGGAGGGGCGGAGGTCCCCCCAACCTCCTTCGTTCCCCTCTTTCTTTTTCGGTTAACCCTCAGGGGGGAAGCATCCTCCTCTTGGGGCTCGGGGACCTCGAGCTCGGTGATGTGGTAGCGATGCTTAAGCTCGCGCCACAAGTTCTTCCCCATGATACCTACAGACAAGAAACAAAACACATCAGCAAAAGTAAGCTACACAAATTCCAAGCCACCAAAAAACGAAATACTCACTCTCCAAGCCCCTCTCCCTGTACGCCGAGTTCGCAAGCGACAAAACGAGCTTGCAATCCAACAGACGAGGAAGCGCGGCGAGGTTCTCGATGGCAGTCGCCTCCGAAGCCGTCAGCTTCACTTGGCCCACCCCATGAAACCTAGAAGGTCGGGGGCACCAATAGAAGGGAAATCTCGGCAACCCCCCGAAATAAAACGCCCCATCTTCCAAGGGGTCAACGTTCACAAGAGCGACTCGAAAAAACTCTTGTTTGAAATTTTTGTACGACTGGGAGTAGAGAGTAAACAAACCCCCATCCCTACTCCCACTCAGAGATAATATGCCGTATGGCGGAACGCCTACCTTCAACTGATAAAAATGAAGGAAGACGGGAAGAGACACCTCTATCCCCAAAACTGTACACAGGACTTGAAAAGCCCTCAAAAAACCTCAACTATTGGGGTGCAACTGGCAAGGAGCCGAGTTGACAAAGTTCAAAAAATCACACTCAAACTGAGTGAAGGGAAGACAAACACCTAAATCTCTAAAAAAAACAATGATACATATAGAAATGGGGAGGGTCGGTAGACTTCCCCATGTACACACCCTCACCGGCCTAACAAGGTTCAAGCCGGATCATCCGGGAAATAGAAGGGTCACAAACCCTGCACGACCGCAGGATCCCGTTAACCTCAAGAAAGGACCGAAAAATGCTCTGGACCCCCGCCATCTCACGCTTGACCCAGTCGTAGCCAGGGATGCCTGGCTCCGGTCCCCGGGGCGGAGGCGGATCCCTCTTCTCAGCGGCGGCTCTCCCGGTAGCCACTGCCTTACCGCGCGCCTTGCCCCTAACAGGCGCAGAAGAGCCGACACCACTCCCACCAGTCATTAAAGAAAGAGAAGATCTGGGGAAAAGAAAAAAGAGAACTGTAGAAAGGAAGTACCTGGTACTCCTCCTCAGAAAATAACCCTAGTAGTGACGGGGTTACCGGAAATGGAGATGGAAAGCGAACGGAAATGAGAAGGCAAGGAACGAGAAGGCAAAGAGGACTATCGTACTCAAGAAGCCAAAGAGTGGAAGGAAGCAGGGTGAATGAGGAGAGACGCGGGAGAGAAAGAGAAAAGGGCTTTTTCCCCAAATTTCAAAATGGCCATGCCACGTGTCAACCTAAAGGCACGATGACAACACATTAATTGCAAGACCATCATTGCATAACTGTCATTTCCCTTAACGCGCCACTTGCACGTTTTCGGAAAATGAACAGTTACGACACATGGCATCTCAACAGGCAGACGTACGCGAAAGGTCACTTCCCCCCAGCGAGCTCGGTCTTAACTCCTCGACCTATGGTCTTCGGAGCTCGGGGGGCTCGTGTACTGTCCGTACTGCGAAGCCGAGCTCCGAGCTCGGCATCACAGCACAAGATGAGGTCGGGCACGTGCTACGCGACGTCAGCTCGACATTTAAGCAGATCATAACTGATCTCGAGGGATCTCACTTCGGACGAGATCCACTATCTAATCTTATCATATCTTATCTCAGGCCCAAGGCCCAAAGCAACCCTAAATCACACCAAGGTACGTGCATTACATATACGAGATTCATACTCATACAAACCCTAACTTTAGCATCGGAGTCTCTTTTGCAGGTACCACCCCCATCTTGGAACAAAAACGTACCAGTGAAGGAGGCTCATCGATCTTACCTGGCAGATCAACTCTACGGCAGATTTCCGGTAAGAACAATACTTATTATGATTTATAGTTAGTTAATAATACAATTTTATTTACAACGATGACCCATCAAAAAAATTAATTTTATATTTAAATACATTCATATTTTATTTTATATATTAATTATTGATTTTATTATGAACAATATATTGAGATTATTTAATTTACTTAAATTTTGTTAAAGTAAAATGCTAGCTGACGTTAGAGAAGACATAACAATAAAATAGCAAAAAGAATAAAGAGTTATTGATGGAGAAAATAAAACAAAAATGGAATTGCATTCCATCACTCCCCTTTCTTAAATCTAGATCTCCAGAACCTTAATTCCCTATTAACAGGTGAAAAAGGAGAAACATATAACAATTAATTAGCCAATTAACCAATACTATATAGTACATAAGTTCTCCAACTCGGATCCTCTCTTAGTTTGATAAGGAAGCATAATTCCATCTTTTTATAGAAGTAAAATAACACTTTTAGTAATGGTTCCATGTCCAAAGTGAAAAACAATTAAATCCTAATTCTTGATTAAAGAATATAATTGACAAGCCGGTTGAAGCTAACAACTTTTGACACTTGGACCCTCTCTTAATCTAATGTGTTAATTGGTCGCTCCACAGAAATTAAGAAGAGAGAATGTAACAAAATCGTGTTGGAGAGAGAAGAAGGATGGAAGCTCATAAATTTTGACTATGTTGTTCATGTTGGGAACTTCCATTTTCCTTGTGGGACTTGTGACAACCCTCGGAATCTCCGATGTGTTTGTCGAAATGGTTAGCAACTAAAGAGGATGAGGATGATGAAGGGGTGGCCAAGAACGTTGGTTTGTGATCCCCTGCCATGATGACTAGGATCTTCTCCTGGTACACCTTAGGTTGTTCCTTGTTTTGAGGGTCCTCATCACCCTCTTTGATGTTGCTGTTGTTTTCCAAATCCGTTTGATGGGTGAGTCTCCAATAGGAGCAAGCGAGCATGAAGAGTGCCAAGGCTATGAGAGCCATAACGGTGGCGAGTCCTCCGAAGAGGTAGGGCACAGGAGAGTGCCATGGGGACCTAACTGAACTTGTTGGGGCTAATGTGCTTAGATTTGAAGGGGGGGGAATAGGAATGCTTCTCATGTTGCTATAGCTTTCTCTTAGTTTTTGTTACTCAATTAGTTTGTGCTTTTGGTGGAAAAGAAGAGAGGGTTGAAGAGTGAGGTTGAAAGAGAAGCATGGGGGAGAAGGGTATTTATAGAGGCCAACAACAAATTCAAGAGACAAATAATGAAGGGGAGAGGGAAAGAGTGTGTGTGTTGACTTTTAGTGTTTATTTTGTATATGTGTATCTTATTTTAGGCGAATCAAATTCAGTGCGGATTTTTATTCTGTATTTCTTTTCTAATTTTTATACCATCACTATACATTTTTTTTTTTGAAGTTTATTAAGATTAGATTGTTCTAATTTAATGAGAAGTTTTGATATGAGTTTTTAATATGTAATTGTATTAAATATCTAGTAAAAAAGTTTTGTTGTTTATAGTGATTATATTTGACTTGAATATAATTATTTTTAATAAAAATATACATAGTTTTTATAAAAATAAATAATATTTGTCCTGTTATAAGTTTTTAATTCAATTTGTTTTCACGATTGTATTGAGTAAAATGTAACTCTAGAAAAATGTGAAACTTTTATAAGATATTAGAAAAACTTATATCTGAGATATATTTCAATTGGTGTATATGTGTGGTTGGATATGCTCGAATACATGTTTACCATGATTTCTTTATTATTATACGATGATTTGAGAATATGATATACTAATATGTTTAATATATTTTTTAATTTGATAAAAAAAAAACTTAGCAAAATGTCCTTGAAATCCATATGCTAAAATATAGAGTACGGGTTCTATTTTTTGAATTCGAATCAAATGCGAACATTTTTAATTTGTTTGTAAAACCGACCATAAAGGGAGTTATATGCTTAAAATTCTAACTCAAAACTACTATTTAAATTAAAATAACTTCATATTAATTGATCTACACATTCAATGGTATATACATACACACGCGTACATGCACACACCCACCCATATATATATATAGAGAAAGGAAGGTTTAAACGATATTAGTGTAACTTTTACTAAATATTATATTGCTCAATAACTTTATATTAAATGCGAATTTTGTAAATCCAACCGTTAAATTAAAAGTTTATATCACTTTATATATTTATATCAAATTTTGCTAAAATTGAACATCAACTTGAAGGTAATGAAAGTGTTTATATTTTATTATATTTTGAAATGTATATATTACGTCAATTTTGTTTTGTAAGAATGAAGTATCAAATCATTTTGGATTAATATAAAATTTTGTATATATGACCTAAGAGTAAAGTATTTTCAATCTAACGGTTGAATTTACAAAATTCACATTTAATATAAAGTTATTGAACGGTGTAATACTTAGTAAAAGTTACACCGGTGTCGTTTGAACTCTCCTCTCTCCCACACACACACACGCACGCACACGCACGCGCGCGCGCACACACACACAAGCACGCATGCACGCACACGCGCGCACGCACACACACTGAACATTTGTTATAAGAACAATTAATGACAACTCTTAAATAACTCATGTAATATCGTTGTAGTTCTATCTATCACTTCATTTACACACACACACACTGAACATTTGTTATAAGAACAATTAATGACAACTCTTAAATAACTCTTAAATAAAAAGATGTTACCATGTAATATCGTTGTAGTTCTATCTATCACTTCATTTTCGTTATTGCAATCATTGTCATCATTACCACCTTCACCTTCACCCCACCGCTGCTACATCATCAACATTGCTACCACTATCACTACTATTGCCGTCATGACCACTATTGACGATTTTGGGTATTGGGCTCCCTTCCTACATGGAGAAAAGGTCCAAAATTGAGAAGCTCAAATTTTGTCTCACTTAATATTATTTTCAGTTATTCACTCGTGAAGAAATATTTTTAGTATTGAATTCTAAGATAATGCAATGTCTTATATTAATTTTCTTTTTTAAAATATAAGAATCCTAATTTCATAATATAAAAATAAAAAAATAAAATTCATAATAAAAAAAAGAAATAAAATAATTGTTGAGTCATAAAAGGGGAAGGATTACAATAACAAATTCAAGAGAGGGAGAGAGATCACAGTTTTTATGTTGAGAGGATTCTTCCCCCAACTAAGATCTGTTATTATCTCATTCTTCTTACAGAAACTCTAACTCAAATTCATCTTTTACATATATATATATATATTGTTCTAATAAATCTAAATTGATTACAAGGTCTTGAAGATCTATAGTTGATTATAGAGATCATAATATCAATTTTAGCTTTCACCTTTCCCTTTTCTTGACGTGTGTTAAAAAATAATACTACTTAAAAGTTAAAATTTCAAGTGTTTTCTGTGTTATATAACTGAGGAACAATCTCAATTAAATAGACCAAAATAGAGCAAGTCAATTAAAGAGAACAGAGAGAAAAATAGAGAAAGTTAATGACACTATCATTTACGTATAGAAGTTTCACCAAATAAGGGAATGGAATGAGAACAGTAGTACAATATTATATATAAGTAGTAGTGCAATATTATTAACAAGAGAAAAAAAATGGAGAAGACATGAGCATAGAAAAAAAAAGATGAAAAACTCACTTGAAAATTCTTGAAGCACTTGAAAAGTCACTTCAAACAATCCTCCAAAATCTTATGGGTTTGGATGGGATTGTTTTATGAATTTGGTATTTATAGATACCACTAAAAACTCCATCAAAATCCCTCTAATACAACAATCCTTTAAAATCCAATATTTTTGAATACCAATTGATTGTTTTTAAGTTGTAAAAAGTTTCAAATGAATATCAATGGATTTTAAGGGACTCTTTAAAAAATCTTGAAAATCCTGATTGAAAACCACTGCATTGTTTTTAAGTGACATAAAATCCTGATTGAATACCAACGAATTTTTTTACTCAGAAAAAGTCTTTTAAAATCCTATGAAATCCTAAACCAATACACTCCCTTAGTTTTTTTAGTTTAAAATGATTCAGTTATTTAATAGTTTAGTTTAGTTTAGTTAATTTTGCCCAGCCCTAGAAGAGAGAAAGAGACTAGAAAATTTTGTTCGCATACATAGAGCAGTTTCAGTAAAATTGAGATCCCCACTTTGTTTACCGTTGGATCGGGCTGAACATTTGGCAGCAGGTTCTTAACACGGTGATCTTCGTTTTGACCATTGGGATCGTGGATTAGAGGTCTATGATTGGAAAAATCAATTTCATACAGTTGGTCTAATTTGAAGTTTCTTCTCCTTTATTCTTCAGTTAGAAGGCCTTGATGCTTTAATATATTGGCTGGTTGTAAGAATTTTTTTTTATGTATTTGATTAGATTCTCTTGTACCCTTATTTGATCATATTGGAGCTTGATTGACTGGTTTATGCCTGTGGGTTTTTACTTCTCACATTGAGAGGATTTTCCCACGTTAAAAATATTTGTGTCTCTTTGTGATTATTTTCTGCCATTTATTTTTTTTGTTGCTCTTCGTTAATTTTTGCAAGTTGGAGAATTATTTCCGCTACATACTTTGGTACTCTTGATTATGGTGTTGTTGTTTCCTTTATCAACGATGACGGTAGTGATGATAATCGTGGTGGTGTTAGTAGCAAATGTAATGGTGGTGATGTATAAAAGGTATGATTGAGGTTGAGGTAGTGAAGATAACAACAAAAATAATAGAAAAAATTACAATGATAATACGTTTACATTATTTGTAACTTTTTAAACTAAATTATTTATTATAATGTAAGATATGTTATTAATTATTCTCATATTAACAAATATTCACTTAAATCGTCACACGAACACACACATATATATATATATATATATAATATTTTCTAACTCAATTCCTTCCAAAAAAAAAAAAAAAAAAAGAGTTATATTGGTCATACAATATGATCAAATAATATAGAACAAGATAATCATATCTTGTTTGTGCACCAAATAATATATTAAAATATGATATAATAAATATTTATCATATCTTAGTTACTAATCATCCCAAAGATATTAATAGTAAATTATAAACATTGTTTAAGATATGCAAATATATAGTGCATACCCCTGAAGACTACTCCTTGCAAAGAATATATGATGCATATATACATGAATGAGGTCATGATGATATTCTTTAGCCTTATCCGTGAGTACTAACAATACGCCTACAAAGGGAATATATGTTTTCTTGTGTGATCGATGATGTAATTAATATAATATTTTTTCATATTCTTAAAAAAAAAAAAAAAGGGAATAAAGAAAAAGACTGTTGTCTATTTTAGGATTGGGTCCCAATCCAAACCCATAGTGATGAATGCATTATGGTGCATAATCAGATGTTTATATTGTGAAAGCAACCACAATCATGAAGTGAGGATAAAAGAGAATAAACAATGTGGGCAAAGGGGAAACAAAGTTATAGGGGCTTTTCCTTTTGTTTCAGACGTGATCATTATGTAGTCTCAATTATTGATGAAGTCGTGAAACTTAAACCATGTCTCTCTTTGGATTGGAAGAAAATAGAATATAAAGGGAAAGGAAAATTAATTTAATTAGTGTTTCTTTTTATATATTTGGATGATAAGAAAAAAATTATTGAGAAACATGCAAAGTCTTCTCATGTACGTAGCCAAGAAAATGAAGAGATGAAGAGATACGTTAACTGAAACTCAACTCAAATTATTTTGCTTCGCAAGATAATAACATTGGACAAATATAATGAGGGTGTGGTGGATGGGGAAACAGAGTATGAATAAAAAAGTTACTGTTTTTTTTAGAAAATATAACAAGGGATTGAAAGAAAAGGAAGCAGTAGGCTCAGAGGTGACAAATTTTGTACAGATATTAATAAACTCATGCCAATAATAAATACTATTTTTTCTCATTTATTGAAACTAGTTTGACATGTACGTGTACAATATAAATAGTAAATAAATATTTTTTTACGTGATTTTTTATAAACATTATTTGACTTCGTAATTTTTATGTAGGTAATTAATTTAATGAAAAGAACTCCATGTTTTAAATGGGCTTAACAAGAGTTTAAAATTGTGTTCCAAAATCTAAATAGCCACTGTTTCAAAAAAGATAATATTAACTC